CAGCCCGACACGGACGCTGCAAGTCCCAGCAACACCCAAGGGAGGATGCTGGGCCCGAGGGGTCTCCTCAGTCTTTGCACAAGCTGGCAAGAAGGGCGCAGCAAGCCTTTCCCCTCTAGCACGGCCCAAGCGCCTGGGCCCCTCAAACACAAACAGCTCTAAGTCCTTAGTCGGCCACGGGCCGCGGAGGACACTGGTCTCGTGACCACGCGCCGTGCATCCTCCTTGGCGGCCACGTGGCCCCAAGCTGTTGGTCCCGGACGTGCAGCGGGGACTCCTGGCGCAGTCCCTGCAGCAAGGGGCAGGTCCGAAGGCGGAGGGTGTGTTCCCGCTCATTTCAGGATCTGAAAACTGGAGGAGCCCACCGCTTGGCCAGGATGATGTAGTTGGGAAATCAGTTCCCGGAGTCAGAACGCCATCCGTCTCCTTCCGGATACGGGGGATACGCGCTCCGGCCCAGGGGCGCCCTGAGCTCTGCTTGCTGAATGAGGGGCTGCTACCTCGAGAGCTAACGGTTAGGAAGCCCTTGATAGGAGGGGACTCTTCGCATGGGCTTACAGCTGGGGAAACCGAGGCATAGGCTGTTCTCACCAAGTGTGGTTCGCATACAAATGCAGAATAGAGACTTTATTTTTTAAGTGTCTTCTGCTTAAGGTGATGGTTTTCTGCAGGGGAGCCAAAGCCAGGGTGGCCCTGAGCATGTGACCTGGGCCAGTAGTTTGATGGCTCCATAGTAGGGTGAGGTATCTCCAGGTCAGCGTGTCAGCCCCCACCCAGCGCCTCAGGCTCACGGACCTCTGGAGAAATTAAAATAAGCAGAAATATTGCCTGGTTGTGAGGATAGGCGAGCTCGCCGAAGGCTCTTCGGGAAGCTGGCCTGGATCCTACTGCTGTGGGTTGGGGGGCTGTGCGAGGCATCTGCTTGAGCTTGTGCCCTGAAGGGCGTGACAGGCCCGGCCGGCTGTGGCACTTCCAGGCACGCACTTCAGCAGCCGGCTGCTTCAGACAGGGGAAGGGAGCCCGGGGACTCCCCACCGGGCGTTCAAGTGTGGGATGGGGTGGAGGGTGCCCCCAAAATACGGGGCTGGGCAGGGGCCCTGTGCCCCTGGGGTGGAAGGGTGGAGCTGAAGAGCGGGGTGACGTTGAAACAGTATGTTTAGTCGTAAACAGCAGTTACTTCCAAACTCCTGGGCGTTTCAGTTATGGGGAAAAAGGCTATTTGAGGAAAAAGCCAGCTGGAACGTTCTAGCATGTATAGTGGTGATTAAAGTACTTTATTGAAAATAAATGTGGGGCATCTTGTAAGCAGCTCGAGCCAGAGGACTGCTCTTGGCCTCCACGTGACCAGCTCGGCCCAGTTGGCGACAGATGCTCTGGGCCCCGGGCGTGAGCTGAGGGCACGTTGTATGTCCACCTGGTGCTGGAGTCTCGGGAGAGCAGAGCGGCAATGGGGAGAGCACGGAGGGAACCAGCCAGCGGCCCCTGCGGCTGTCTGTGGGCCCTTGCGCCCTGCCGAGGCGCTCAGCATGACGGGGTCCGAGCGCGGAGAAGAGACACCAGCCAGCGCTGCTTCTGATCTTTTATTGCTAAACTATCATGATACAAGCCGTATAAAAATACTTTACATATAGCAAAAATAAACTACATTAAACAGGAGATTAAAAACATTTTGCATAGGAATATGATGTATTCCAACTTATCAGTCAAGCTTTTCAAAGCCTTCCAGCACCACCTGTTGGAGAGACATTGTTGGAGAGCTAGTACAGGCCGCCCCAATATTTTCTCGGGGTGACGGGGGTGGGGGTGGTGGGGACAGTGAGGCTCTGGGACAAGAGGCGTGGACACCAGAGCCGGCCCCTGCCCAGGCGCTGACTGAATCGGCACGAGCTGTAGCCAGCTCATCCGGACCCTGAATTCCGTGCAGCCACGGAAAGACGGCGGGTGAGCCCTGCGGGCCACGGCCCACCTTCTCGTCAGAGGGGCTTGTTCAGGGAGCACCCCGGCACGCCGCCGCTAGAAAAGTCTGTCTTAACAGTGATGGCGGAAACTCAGAACACGGGGACGAGCCGAGGGCAGCGGGGGCCCCGTCCCTGGCGCGTGTCTCTAACTTGGCGTCGGAAGGTGGGAAGACGCTGATTTGGCGCCTTAAGATGAATGCCCGAGCCCCAAGTTTTCGAAAGGCCAAAGGATGTTGTGTGGGGTGCCGACTGCCGGGGCTGGCCCTGCAGAAAGTGAGCTGGGGGAGGGCCGCCCCGCTCCCCCAGAATGTTGCAGGCTGGCTGGGCCCCCGGTAGAAGCGCGAACGGCCTCACTGCTGAACAGTGAGATCAACCCGCTGCGTGTGCCGGCTCTGCGCCCCCACGCTGCTGGGGAGCCTTCTCGGCCACGGGTGTGAGGCAGCGAAGGCACCGTGGCCTCCAGCTTCAGAGGGCCCGGACACCACTCCTCGGTGACAGCGCCGGGAGCTTGGCCTGGCCGTGACGACAGGGCTGGGGTCCGGCCAGCTCTGTCCCTTGCAGCCTTGCGGCAGAAGGCACGGGCAGCCCGACCCTTCACCCTGGTGAAGTCAGGCCGCTCCGTAACGGTCGTTCCGCAGGTCTCAGTGACGCGGGCCCAGAGCCGAGGTCGTGGGCGCCTCGCTCTAGCGAGAGGGGTGAGCCCTTCACCACGTCACCCCTCAGGGGTGCCTGCCCCCACGGACAGGGAACAGACTGACAGGCGCTGCGCCGGAGTTTGGCCGTTCTTCTTCTGGAATGATTAAACTTCAAGAATACACCATTTCTCTTAGGTGGAAAAGCCGTATGTAAAAAGAGACACTTAGGAAGGATTTCTGACCACTTATAAATATTTTCTAATCCCAACAGGGGTGTGATATTTTGTGGACAGATGAAAAGCATAAAAATACAGATAAGAAAATAAAATTTAATAACATACTAATTTGGGTTGCTATTATATATTATCAAGCAGCAGTATTTTTGTACAATAATAGGAATACTCGCCCACTCTGGAAATATACTACATTCAGCCACGGGCGGGTGTCGGCGAGGTGCCGCCGATGTCCATGACCTTCACACAGCCAGGGCCGGGCCCACGCCCGTCTTCGCCGAGTAGACACCCTCAGCCTCCGTGTCTGCGGGGCCCCTCCCGCTCCTGCCTGTACTGCAGAGACTTCACGTGCAGTCACTCTGGGCACCACTTCCTCCGGGCGCGTGTGACCGCCAGGCTGGTGGCCGTGGTTCCTGACCCCGCTCTCGCTGGTCTGCGTCTCGGCACGAATGCTGTTTGTCCTTCCCTCTGCTTCCCGTTAAAGCGGTTTCTGACAGCGCTTCCTGCGGTGGAGAGCGAGGACGTCTTAGAAGAAGGAGCTCAGGTCCGTGCGTGTCACACGCACACTGGCGCTGGGCCTTCCGAGCTCTGGCTGCTCACACGCTTACAAGATTGATGGGGAGCACGTGAGCCCTTTCTCGCCCCGTGGGCAGTGAGGCTGAGCGACTTTGCTACAATAGCAGGAAGGCACTTGGGTGAGACATTCAGATAACCGAAAGGCCAGATTCCTTCGTGTGCAAAAATTGGCCCGTAGCCCGGTCAAGTGAGAACAGATCACTCACCAACACTTTAGCTCTGTCCGGGTGAAGTCAGTATTGCTGGTGGGGAAATTCTTTGGGTAAAGTTTTGCATATGGAACTTTTTATTCATTAGGAAGGATGGCGCCTTCCAGAATTCTGCACCCTGAACAGCGTTGGATGGGAGAGTTGCAGCAGACGGGGTTCCCCTGCAGGCAGGGCGATGTCTCTGGGCGATGCTGCAGGGGTGACAGTGGCTGGCAGGCCTTTGTCTAACAGGTTGGGTCAGGAATCACTCTATGAATGGCTCTTTCAAGGCACACTGGGGACGAGCCCGGGTGGCTGGAGCGAAGCTGGAATCACCCCAGCGTGTCCACAGTGATGCAGACAGACTCCTCTGTGCGGGAAACCCCTGCCAGAACCCCAAGGGTCTCACTCTGTGGCAAGAACTGCACCCCTGGAGAAAGACAGCGAGGACTCCGGTGTTCAGTGGAAACGTAGAGTGGTCTGAGCAGAACCCAGTGAGAGAATGGTCTTGGGGGCTGAGGGAGCCGTCTCTGCGTTTAGAGGAGCCACCGTGAGCTCAGGCACCAGGTCCTGAGTGCGAGTGTGCCGTCTGGACCCAGGCCCGGGAGGGACGTTCCATGAACGGGAACCCACGTGGAGAAACACTTAGGTCGCCGGTTGCTTCATTTTAACAACACCTGCTTGGTTGCGGCCGCTTTAGCTTCCGTCATTCCGGGCAGCAGTCGAGGCACACGCTACACTCCCTCTTCTCTACTTTATGGATGAGCACGCTGCGGTCAGAAGGCTGAGGTTGTGCAGCTGCGGCCAGGCGTGGCCCACATGCCTGCGGTGAGCTGCAGGGCTGAGGAGGTGTGGCCACCTCCGGCCACGGCGGCCAGCTCTGGGAAGCAGAGTCACAAGTGCCCACACATGGCCGCTTTGTGCCTGACGTCTTCCCAGGCAGCCTGTGCAGACCGGACCGCTTGGGTTTCAGGATGAGAAAAGTCAAAACGTCGTTAGCTGTGTGGCCCTGCCGTGCGGGGACCAGGCATCGCCCAAGGAGCCATCCGGCTCCAGACTCCCCGGGGGGGCGGGGGCCTGGGGTTGCGCGGTCTGCAGGCTGGACTCAGAGCCTGTGGCTTTGGTGGCTGTGAGGGAGACGCCCCCCTCCGGAGGGGACAGGAGCCGTGTCTGGCCTGGGCAGGTGAAGGCAGCGCTGGGGCTGGAGGGCGGTGCCATGGGGCTGGACCCCGCTCTCTGGTCACGCAGCTCTCGGCCAGGTCCAGCGTGCTGCCGGGCTGAGGCGGTTCTGGTCAGCAGGTACTTGGGGTTTGGGTGGGACACGGTCAGAGGCAACTGAGATGCTCTCTAGGGTTTAAAACAGAAGCCAAGAGGCAGCGAGTTCCCCCTGGTGCTTGCAGGGAGGTGGCGAGCGTCTGCATGGGGTCAGGTCTGCCAGGACACGGTCCCCCGGTGGACTCCGGCCAGGAGACGGACGGTGAAGGGAATGAGAGAAGGCTCCGGGGCCAGCTGCGGAAGTGTCTTGCGGAGGGCGGCTTCTACGTCTGGTTTCTGGCGGGAGGTCCTGAAAACTCCTTCCTGATAATTTCATTTACTGCGAGAGAGAGAGAGCCGCGGGGCGAGTGAGAGAACACCAGAACACAGCTCACGTGGGCTTTCTAGACCCTCCAACAACCGGCTACTGTCTCAGAAACACATTTTGGTCTCGGATAGCACCTTCGACGGTTTTTAACATAAATGCCTTCGTAGGCGATTTCTGGGCCATAATTCACCCAAATGGTAACTTAAAAAACCACAGTGGTGAGGTGCTGGTATTCCATGTTCTCTCACTTCTATGGTCTCAGTTAATCATGCTGGTCTTTGGTCTTTCCCAAACTTCCATCCCCAAAGCCAGACAATGCCTCCATGATAAGCGCAATTCCGCCCGACACACAGTGTCCAGTTCTGTAAAGAAGGGTCCTCCCGGTGGGCTGGGGGCGTGGGGGGTACCGTCCATCTGCAAGCTGGACTCAGCTGCCAGCTCACACACAGTGCTGTGAACCAGTGAGCCCCCAGTAAAAATGATCCAATTTTCAAAAGCAAAGCGGTGCCCCTGAGAAGGGCCACCCCCGCGCGGCCGACCAGACTGGCCGCCACAGTAACCATCTTGGTCAGCACAGCAAGTGGCGCCCCCACTGGCAAGGGGCAGGCCGTGAGTTTTCAGAGTGGGACATGTCCTCAGAGGTGCTCTGCCTACCCCTCAGGTCTGTGGGCTCCCAGGTGTGGGGCCAGCATGTCCTGGGATCAAGGGGAGCCTCTTGGCAAGAGCCCCCGATCCAGGGCAATGAGGTCTGAGCAGTGGCCTTGCAAAGAGGCACCCCTTGATTCTCTTGGAAAGAAGTGGCCCTGGGGTCAGCCCAGACCCAGAGCAGGGCACCGGGCCTCAGGCTGGCGGAGCACAGGACGCAGGGGCTTCTGGGGTCCCAGTGAAGGCGACACCACCTCCCGGCCCCCGGTTCTCACGCTAGGCCCTCCTCGCCCCCTCCCGCTCTGTGTTTCGGCCCGAAGTTGAGAGGGAAGATGAGCCCGGGGTGAGGACACCAAGCCCTGCCCCTCAAGCTGGCCTCCTGGGTAAGGCGCGCCCTGCAAGCACCCGCCTGGAGGGCGCGCAGGTGCAAGTCTGTGCCTCAGTTTTCTCATCTGTGAGGTGGGGCTCCTACGTGTGGCCTTTGAGTGCTGTGTGGAGCCAGGCACCAGTTCCAGGGCGCGTGCAGCCATGGCCAGTGATGTCCCCGCCTTGGTGTGGGACTCTGATCGGTGCCTGGTGCTGCTGTGTGTGAGGAGCCAGTCGGCTCGGCTGGCCAGAGCAGGGCCGGGGAGCTCCGAGCGCGGACTCGGGAGCCACGGCGGGGATGGAGGCCCTGGGTGGAGAGGGGCTCTTGCCGCCTCTGTGAACTGTGTGTGAAAACGTGCTTTCGGGGTTCCTGAGGACCTGGGTGAGGTCGTGTGAGTGAGAAATGTTCCCCCTGCCCTAGCCAGCACACGCGGGCTTGTAGCGTGGGTGCTGGGGTGGCCAGCCCCCCGCGGTGGGGAAGCGGGCGTGTCAGCAGCAGCTCTGAGCAGGGACTCGCGTGTCCCCCACAGGGCGGCCACGCCCCAGTCCCAGCTGTTCCCGGGGGCCCCTCTGCAGAGCAGAGCCCAGGGGAGCAGTGAAGCAGGCCCGGGGCGGGGTCAGGGGAGCGTTTCAAAGGCCGGATCCCAACGGGCTTCCTGTTTTCTCAACCTAGGAGGCCACAGGAGCTGATCCGCAGTGGAAACTTCCTGCAGCCCTGGCTTGCTAAAAATAGCAGGTGGGCACGGGCCCTCCCCAAGGGCTCGCTGCCTCCGCGGAGCATGGGGCTGGGGTCCTGGAGCTGACCAACTGCGTTTGGGTAAGAAGGGGGTGCCTCTGGAAAACCCCGGAGCTGAGCCCCCACAACTTCCCACTGTCCCCCGGAGAGGTGGGCAGGGCAGGGAAGGGGTGGTTGAGGACCCTCCGGCCTCACAGGGACCTCGCCGGGGAGAGGAAACTCAGCGCTCACTCCCTAGCCGTGAGTGCGGAGAAAATTCTGGAGTCGCAGCTGGGGCAGCGGCCACATCAGTCTGCAAACTGGGCCTCCCAGGGAGGTCTCCGGCAGGCCCGCCTCCGTCCCGAGGAGGCCCCACCTTCGCAGGCCCTCACGGCCCTTTAATCCCTCCAGATGCCCAGCACGACCGGCTCCCTGAGAGGACCTCCGGGCCGGCCGCTCCCCCAGACCCGCAGTCCCGCCCTGTCGGCCCCTCACTAGGCTCAGCGACCCCAGCCTTTGCACTGGCCCCGGCTGGTGTCCCTGCTGCTCTGAACTGGCCCCCTCACGCTCCTGTCACTCTTGCTCAGCCACCCGCTGGCGGGCCCCGCAGTGGCCGGCCCTCTCCCCAGCTGCGGCTGTGCCGGCCACTTCCCCGCAGATCCGTTCCTGGAAAGTCACGCTCCAGCTGCTTATGCCCCTGCCCCCATATCCTGAGCTCTTAGTCTCGGCACAAGGGAGCACTCAGTCGTGTGCGTCCGCAAGGGAGATGACACCCCTGTGCTCGGTCGCTCAGCTCACAGGCGGGGCCTGGGACTCGTGCCCAGCTCTGACCCGCTGGCCGGCGTCAGCCTGGCTGTCCCGAGCAGGCCGCCATGCCAGGTCCTGCGCCCAGGAGGTCTCCAAACAGCCCTGCCCGGCACCGCCTCTTCCACTCCCGCCCCAGGGCCCTTGCTCTCTCCAGAAGCAGCTCCTGCCCCTCCACGCAGGTCTTTGAGGGCCCGGAACCCCACACTGACAGCCAGGGCCTCCTGCATGCAACTTAACCCACTGCGAGGACCCCCACACCGTCAGCCTGGATAGCTGGGGGCTGGGGGGGCGGGTGCCAGTGGCCACCCCGTGGACAAATGGGCGGCTGGGTAGCTGAGGGTTGGGGGGGGGGGCGCCAGTGGCCACCCCATGGACAAATGGGCGCTGGGTAGCTGAGGGTTTGGGGGGGCGCCAGTGGCCACCCCATAGACAAGTGGGCGGCCGGTCTATTACCTGGATGGCCCCATTCTCTACAAAAAGTGCAAGCTGGCTGCCTGACTCGGGGAGCCGGGCGGGCCTGGGGCCGCACGAGGCGCCGTCACCGCACCCAGCCATACCTCACCCACGTGCTGGAGCGGGAGACACGGGCAGTCACCCGCTGCAGCCGTGGAAGCCGTGGAAGCCAGCTGGAGCCCACGGCCGCACGGCCTCACTGAGGCTCAGTGCCACAGGTTTCTTCTGGGGCCCAGAAGGCTCAGTGTCTGCATGTGAGTCAGGAAGGACAGAGCCGCCCTGGGGGGGGGGGGGGGCGAGCGTCGAGCGGTTAGTGGTCAGCGAGCGTCACTTTCTCAGAGGCGCGCTGAGGCCAGCAGGCGCAGCTCTAACCTCTCGCCACCTCGGCGAGAGGCGGGACGAAAGCGCTGACGTGGTGTCTAAGCCTCGAGTGACTTCTCAGCCTGACCTCTAAGCTGAAAGCAGAAAGGAGCTGGGTGCGGGCGAGTAGGTGAGTCCCGCGTTCCTCTGCAAAACTCCAAAAGGAAATCCTGGGTGGGCTTTCAGTGTGTGTGCGCGAAGATGCCTGTGAACAGGGCCATCACATACACAAAGGTCCGACAGGCCAGTGAGAGAAAAACTGTCCCAGTGAAGCTGTGGGCAGAAGACACAGCAGGTCAGCCGCCTCCAAGGTCCCGGCTGTCCCTGGGGCCTCCACTCGGCTGTTTCCGCACAGAAGCAGCCGTGGGCAATATGTGAGTAAAAGGCGCTGGCTGCGTCCACCCCCCCAAGCTCCCGAACCAAACTGGCTGGAGCTGGGTTTGGCCGGCCCCAGGCAGCTACCAACGCAAAGGAGGAAAACAGCGTGTTTCTTCGGAGGGCGGCAATCTGGGGGTGCCGCCTGCCACAATTCTGGGTTCACTGAGCATTGAAAGTGATTTCTGCTAGCACCCCGCTCTGCCCTGGGGTGTTCTGATTCACTGGGAGCAGGCACCTGCGCTCGAGCCCGCCTGCTCAGGGCCCACGAGCCACGGGACAAGCAGGTGTGGGGGTGGCGGTCGGGGGCTGGGCCGGTGCCTTTACCCTCAGCTGCGAGCTTGGGAACTCTGTCCCCTGAGAAAGCAGCAGCAGGAAGCAGGGGAGAGACCCCATCCTGCTTCTCTCCCAAACCTCAAGCATGTTTTCTAAAAGCTGGTAGCCCACATGCCCACACCAGCCTCGCCCGGGCCAGCCACAAAGGCCACCGCCCGAGAAGCCCCGGCTTGGGTGGGAGTCGGGGAGGCTGTGTTGGGGCCAAGTGAGAATCTGAGCGCCAGCACCTCAGAGCCCACCCGCTGCACTGCCCTGTCCCCGGACCCTCGCTGGGTCCACGCCAGGCTGCCACGCTTGCGGGTGGGCAAGCCAGGAAGCACACTGCCTTCCCGCCCCGCTGCTCAGGAAGCTACTCTGAAAGCCAGGAGGCACTTCCCTGACTCTGCTGCCCCCGGAGCGTGTGCGCTAAGGAGAAGGTGGTCTTGGCCCGGGGCGTCCCTGAGTCTGGGCCTCAGCTCTGAACCGACTTGAAGCTCCGCTTTCCACTTGCTCAGTCACTTCCAGTCTCTCATCTTCTCCAGCCCTCGCTGTGCCCTCTGGGCCACATCACAGAGGCGCTCTGCAGAGGGGGCCGGCCAGGCTCGAGGCGCTCCGAGAAAGGGGCCAACATTCCTTGGGAGGCCTGTGGCCCAGAGCCGCGGGTGGGGCCTGAGAGCTAGGGGGGAACTCTGAGGCCCTGCAGATCACAGCTGGACGCTGCTGGGGTCCCGTGCCAGCTCGCCCCGGTTCCCAGGCTCCTGCAAGTTCAGAAGCATTGCCAAGTTCTAGCATCAGGGAGGGAAGGGGCACAATAAAAAGGCCCTTTGATCATTTCTCAGCTCCCAATATTTCAGTTGCATTTTTGTCATCCTGACTCCTCCATGCAGAGCCCCGGGGGTGGGGGCGTGGCCCCCGCCGGCCCCAGCACTGTTTGCTGGCTCCTGCCTCCCGAGAGCTGGTACCTGACAGTCGCTGC